TGCTTGATCTGGAGTCAGAAAGATCTGAGTTAAAATTTGTCCTCAAATACTGAGACCCTAAGCAATTCCCTTAACCTCTGCCTCAGTTAACTCATCTGTAAAATGGGAATAATAATAGCACCTACCTCCCAGGATTATTGTGAGAATAAAATGAGCACTTTATGAAGCATTTATAAAGCACTTTACAAACCTTAATAGCCTTATAAATGCTAGATGGTAGTAGTAGTAATAGTAGTATTAGATTGGAAATAGGCTAAATGTAGGTCCATAGTCTCAGGTATATATTCACTTTCAAGGCTGACTTAAAAGCAGTATGGAAAATTCACAGAAGTTTTGAGATGATTTTATGTAGTCATATAAGCAATTATAATTTTTACCTAGTGATTGCAGTTTATAAAAAGTGATTGCACTGGCAAACTAATTATGTGCCCTGATTCTGGTGACCATGGAAATAATTGTTATTCTGCCTTAGAATTGTTTTTATATTCTTTAATAACTTTTTTCATGTTCTCTTTTTAGTAGTTTAATTTTGAAAAGTGATTTTAAAGGTATTTACAATAAAGAACGAAGTCCATTTTTTATGGATGATAATAAATAAAGATGTGTGTATATAAAAGAAATAGAACCTCTTAGCCTTTGGATATGAAATTTAAGATCAAGTAAATGTGAAAGATGGTGATCAAGCACATGTGGTAGTTTTGTTTTGTATTTTAGCAGTAGTAAAGAAGAGACTATATTGGTGAGATTTTAAGTGCTTATACCATTTGTGTCAAATGAGCCATGGGAGAGTTTTACAACCAATGTGTTTAGGATTGTTTTGTTTTAATTAAATTAAACACTCAAAATAGGTATGGTCCAGCAATTCTGTATAAACTACTTGCTTAGAAATCTTAACATTCTTCCTTCATTTTGTTTTCAAAGTTTAAAATTATATAGTTCTTCCTCTCTGTTAGGTCTCCTTTGTATTTTTTCTTTTTCTTTTGGGTTTTTCAGGATATTTGAAAAGGAATCTCTTTATACCATTGCTTTTTTAGTGACAGAAGATGAGGAATTTTTCAGGGCAAAGCAATCCATCTTCCTTTTTCATACATTTTCTCAAAAGTATGATTCTTCACCATTGGTGAAAATGTTCTGTCATTATGTATAGATCATTTTTTTATGTGTGAATATGAATTTTTTCTCCTCTGTGGTAGGGAGTAGTGCAAGGGGAGTCAACTTGGGTATCTAAGGTAAAGTCATTAAAAAATATGTGGGCAAATGGATAGAGTTAGTTAGATGAACCATGATCATTCTTTGGTCTCAGAATTCATAAATGAAGTTAGTTCTGAAAATGAGCAAATGGATTCTCTTAGATTTGAAAAGAGATCTTAGTGCAGAAGTGGGGAACCTATGTACATGTGGCCCTCTAGGTCCTCAAGTGTGGCCCTTTGACTGAATCCAAACTTTACAGAATGAATCCCCTTAGTAAAAGGATTTGTTCTGTAAAGCTTGGACTCAGTCAAAAGGCCACACCCCAGGACCTAGAAGGCCACATGTGGCCTCGAGGCTGCAGGTTCCCATTTTGGCTTTGAGAAGTTGCTCCTTGTCCAGGAACTTCCTGTCTCACATGTTGCCGGCAGTTTAGAACAGCCTGTTATTGAGATTCTGGTTCAACATGTAAAGAATCCACTGCTTTGCACCCACACTATAGTATCCAGGTTAAATCTAATGCATTTTGTCTGCTGTCGATCATAAATGATCACTAGTACATTGCCTTGGCTCTCTTTTGTCTTGATGCTTGTTTTTTTCAGAGGTAGGCCCAGATGGCATCAGTCATGTGTTGTTTCTTCTTTAGACTGGTCTAATTTTAATTTAAATAATCAGAAAATCTCTAGTCCATCCTGTTGTGGCTTGGTGTGAAACCCTGAAACATGGAGAGTTAGCTTTGTCTGCTATGTCCAGAAGCAGAAAGAGAGCAAGATGAATGTTCACGCTAATCCCCTTGAATTCCGCATCTGAAATCAGATGGCTGCAGCAGAGACCAGCTGGGCCAGGGCTGGACCAGATCACTGGCTTTCCTGGGGCAGGTGGTCAGAGCAGCAATTCTAGGGCCAGGAAACCTAGCTAGTTGTCTTATGTTTTTGTTCTTTGAAATGATATAGTAGTAGTATACAAACACATTTTTAATGATTATCAAAATAATCGTTTTGAAATGTACATAACTCAGAAATGCCAAGGTGTAGTTATTTCTCCAGGGCAGGCTTGCTTGTCCTTATAATGTTTTGAAATGAGTAAACTAGAGGATAGCTTACAACTTTTAGCTCTGCCAAGTAATCAATCAACCAGGCATCATGTCTACTGGGTGTCAAGCCTTGTGCCGGTGGTACATGTACAAAGAACCAAACATGCCCTACTTGCAAGGAGCTCACGTTCACATGTCAAACAGTTGGCAGCACTTCTCTATCTAGGGCTGGACTAAAGCAGGCTTTTCTTGTTTTTTTGGTTTTTTTTTTTGGTTTTGTCTAGGCAGTGGGGTCACTCAGCTAGTAAATGTTATGTGTCTGAGGCCGGATTTGAACTCAGGTCCTCCTGAATCCACTGCTCTATCCACTGCACTACCTAGCTGCCCCTAAAGCAGACTTTTCTATTGAACAATAAATACTAGTTGGATTCATTGATTTAAATAGCATAGCCAAATGCAAAGGATTTTGTTAGTTCCTTTGTATGTCATAGATACACACACACACACACACACACACACACACATATGTATTTGTGTATATGTGTGTGTGTCACACATACCTCTTATGAACTGATGCTGTGCTTAAGCCAGGCCTAGGTATGGGACAAGGTGAAAGGGGGGGGGGATGATAGGAATGATATTGATTTATCAAATTTAGGAAATGATAGAATTAAAGAATTAACTAATTCTAATGTTTAGGCTGTGGAATAGAGAAACAAGAACAATATCTTCATTTTTCATTACATATGTTACATTTCATTACAGTAATTTAAGAAAACTCAATTTATAAAAATTAGACTTTATAAAAAGAATAAATGAGGGGGTGATTATGTACATTGCAGGAAGACTCTTCCCTTTGCAAAAGCTTGCTTGTTCTCCATTAATACCCTCATTGAAGATAACTTCAATTTATGTATGGATGACTATCATAATTTTGTAAAAATGGAATAGTTGGCATCTAGGGTCAACATATTAATGTTCTCTTAGTTCCCTTTTTCAATATTAATAAGGTCCACGATTTTTTTCCCATGCCTCTAGTATTTTTTTGTTCCTTCAGATACCTTGTACACTGATCGTGTAATGCCCTCAGAATTGTGCCATCTGTCTGTCTATCTGTCCATCATCTGTGTGTCACAGTAGAGATAGATAGATAGACAGGTAGATAGACAGATGACAGAGTCCATTCAAGCTGCTTTTCCATCTTTCGTTTACATTAGTGCTGTTTCTACCTCTGCTGTAATAAAAATATTTGGTATTGTGATTAGAGTCCAAGTGTATTGGTTACACTGCCCTTGATGGAGGAAAAAATGTTTTCTGTAATGATTTTCCATATCTTTGTTATTTTTCTTTTATTTGTTGTCTTTCCATTTTCATCCTTAAATACCTTTGCGATAGTTTTACTTTGTTGGATAGCTTGCTCAGCTCTCTCTAAATTTAAGTAAAATACAGAGTATCAATGTGCATACAGATTTTTAAGAAACAAATCTGTTGTATAAAGTAAGGTGAAACAATTCTATTGTTATTGGTGTCAGTGGATTAGGTAATAAATAGCAGGAGGCCCGATTTCTGGGTCACAGCAAAAGGGAGAAATGAAAAAGCATTTGGCAAAGGAGAAAAAAACATACTATTACCCTTTTAATATGTATACATATTTTTCTCAGTCTTTCATTTGCTCTATCTCCATATATCTTATTTAGACCAAAACAGCACCCTCTTTGAGTATTGAACATCTCTCAGTGCTTAATAAAAGTTAATTGAAAAAATGTGAAGAGTTCCTGTTCCTGGCATCGGGGGATTAGGGTTTGGGGGAGATTAGGAAGCTTCTAGTTTTCCTTTACTTTTATAGGGGTAGAGAAAGAAAAAATAGTTTTTTTTTCTTTTTAATTTAGCGAGCATTTATTGAAGAACTTGGATGCCTGGGATGCTAGGAGTAGCCTTAACAAAAATGGGGTGTTGGGAACTCAACTGTTTCTCACTAAATGAAAAATAAAGGGACAGACAACATTTCCCAAGTTTAAGTTGGTTGTCCTCAAAATGATCTTGTGGTCATGCTAAATTCCTATGCTGTATGCCACATCAGTAACTCTTTTTACCTTGTCATAGAATTATAAAGACAAATTATTTAACTTTTTTTAAAAATAATTTTGGTTTTGTTTTGTACCAATTTTCAGTTCTTATTCTCCTTAATAAACATATCTAAATATTTATTAAACTTTAAAAAATACGAAGTGGTGTTAAGTATCCCAACTGCAAAATAATGGAAGAAAAATATACAGTTACCTTGGTAGAAGGTAATAAAAATTACCAAAAAATCTCAATACTCATAAAGAAATCTTAGAATTTTTTTTTTGCCAGAAATATATGCTATAGAAGACTTGGTTAGAATGAATTCTGATATGGATCAGCTAGATGGCACAGTGGATAGAGTACTAGCCCTAGAGTCAGGAAGACCCCTGAGTTCAAATCTGGCCTCAGACACTTACTAGCTGTGTGAGTCTGGGCAAATCACTTAATCCTGATTGCCTAAAAAAACCCCTCAAAAAACCAAATGAATTCTGATATGACATTAAGGGAAAATTTTAAATTGTATCAATTGATGAAAATTACTTTTCCTATTTTGTGACAAAAGGGATGATTTTTAACTCTTTTAAGATTTTAAAGCAATTTCTTGTCGTCACAGGAATGTTTCAAAATAGTATTGCACATAAAATGATTATACCAACTGTTAAATGAATCTGCCTTTTGAACACTACATAATGACCTCATTCTTCTGTCATAGGCCAGAACACTGATAGCGGTGGGACTAGGGGTTGCAGCCTTTGCATTTGCAGGTAAGGGAAATAAACTGTTAAGTATTGTTAAAAATTGCAAAAGGAATGTCTTCCCATTATTCTTTCCCTATAATTTTAGTGATTCATAGAAATTCTTAGAACGCTTATCCAGAGATCTTAATTCAATTCTTGTTTCAATTCCTTATACTTTAGTCACTGAAAACTCATCCCTGCTATTGGTGTGGCAGAAGGTCCCAGTAAGCCTTGTTCTGAAGGAAAGTAATGAAACTGTGTGCTGTTTTCCAGGCTTAATAGCCTCATCAAAGGTTAATTATTTTAGATTTGGGTTATTTTAGATAATGACATGTTTTATGTAAATTAGTGTTTGCTTCAGCAAGCCCAGAGTATAAAGGTGGTATAGAGACTCCAGAAACCTAATGGCAGCACTACTGTACCCCAACCCCCAGACTGGCCCTGAGGTTCTAGTCCCTCAATAAAGGAACTGAAACACGTACATGGAGGAGAAACCTTGTGGAGGCATAGGCCAAAATAACCAATATTTCCAATTCTGTCTCAAACTCTCAATTTACTCTGAAATCCTCAAATTTTACTTACTTCCTCAAACTTTATTATCTTTTTTATCATCTTTTATCAGTATTATCATCTTTTCTCTCCTAATTCCCTCTGCTTATAGAAGAGATATCCTTACTGAGTGTTAAGGCTTAGCCCACTACCTAAGTCTTTGATCCGATTCTCTCCTATTTCTTCCAGAAAACTTTGCTCTAGCAGTTATCTCTATCATCTCATGTATCTTCAGTCTTCCTTGGCATCTTTCAGTCACAGTTGGCTTCTTCCCATATGCTTACAAACATATTCAGGTCTTTTTGTGATATTTAAAAAAAAGTGAAAAACCTACTTGGCTCTCCTGTTCCATCCAGCAAATGTCATCTTTTTCTTCTTTTTCACTGCTGAGCTTTAAAAAGTTATGTATTGCAATGTGTCTACTTCACTTTCTTCAATTTCTTAGAGATGGGAATTTGCCAGTGACCTCCTAATTGCTGGATACAATGATCTTTTCCCATGCCTTACATCCTGAAGAAAATAAGCTCTCTGAAGACAGGGTGTGTCTCACTTTTTGCTTTGTAACCTCGCTGCCTAATAAAATACCCTGCCTCAAGTAAATGTCTAATTTGAGTCCTCTTCCTTCTGGATATTCCCTGTAGATTTTGACTGTTGAGTACTCCCTCCCCCAGAATACTTCCTTTTCCCTCCACTTTACATTCTCTAGGTTAGGGATGGGGAATCTGTGGCCTTCTAGGTCCTTGGGTGTGGCCTTTTGACTGAGTCCAAGTTTTACAGAACTGATCTTTTTATTAAGGAGATTTGTTCTGTGAAGTTTGGATTCAGAAAGCTGCCCTTGAGGACCTAAAGGGCCACATGTGGCCTTGAAGCTGCAGGTTCCCCACCTCTGCCTAGGTTCTCCTAGTTTTCTAACTGCTTCTTTTGTCTTTTTCACAGGCTTTTAATCCTCATAATGTGAAGGTTCCCCAAAAGTTTGTCCTTGTCCTTTTTCTTTACATACTCTCTTTAGGCAAGCCCATCCTCTCCAAGGGCTTCAGTCTCTAGGCATGACTCCCAAAATCTGTACCTCTGATCTTGACCTCTCATCTTAATTTCAGAGCCACATCTCTGTTTACAGTAAATCTCTAACCTTGACATCCTACTGGCATCTCAAACTTAACATGTCCAAAACTAAACCATGTTTCCCCCCCTCAATTTACTCTCCCTTTTGACTTTATTACTTCTGTCTCCATAATTCATACACTTTCTTTATAATTTTAGTTCATCTTTAATTCTTCTCTCACCTTTCATATCCAAGTCCTTCCAGTTAAATGCCTACAAGATCCCCTCATAATCATGGCTTCTTCACTATTTTCAATCTGACCATCCTAGAATAGGACATTATTACCACATGTCTGAATTGTAGTAGTAATAGTTTTCCTAGCTCTACTCTTTTCCTCTCCAATTCATCATTCATATTGCTGTCTGAATAATCTTATCTATGTACTGTTTCTTCCATCTTAATGTTTTTTAAAGGAAGAGGATTCCCACATGCTATCAGTCATCCTGGATCTCTTGCTTTCTCTTACCACACATATCCCATTAGTTGCCAAGTTGTGTTGCTTCTCCTGCCACACATCTCTTGTTTCCTTTCCCTACTCTCTCCTCATGCTTTCTTACGTCACGTCCTCATCATTCCTTGGCCAGAATATTGAAATACACTTCTAATTAGTTTCCCTGTCTCAACTCTGCTCTAAAGTCCATCCTGCACACAGAAGATATAAGCCTATAGTACAGGTTTTATCATGACATTTTTCTCCTTAATAAACTCCAGCACCAGCACAGAAAATTCAGCACAAAATGTAAACTCCTCTTTTGGATTTTAAAGTCATTCACAACCTGACTTCAACCACCAATTCTAGGCTTATTTTAAATTATTCTTCTTTATATACCCTGTAGTCCTGCCAAACTGGCCTTCTTGCTGTTCTCCCTGTGTGACTTGTGTCTTGTCACTGTGACCTTTGACAGGCACCCTCTCCTCTTCTTACCCTACCAGAAGCCTTACTTTCCTTCAGAACTCAATTGAAATGTTCCTCCTACATGAGGCCTTCTTGATCATCTCAATTGCAGCTGCCTTAATTTTGTACACGTAGAGATTGCCACACATGCACACACACACACTCACACATATTGGCAAGGTAATAGGATCCTAGGTTTAGAAATAGAAGGGAATTCAAGGTCATCTAAAGCAATCCTGATATCGGACAGTTGAGGAAACTGAGAACTGAAGAGGTTAAATGACTTGTCTAAGGGTGACTCATATGGGTAATATGTGGCAGAATGAAAATTTGAACTTGGGTCCTTTAACTCCAAATCCAGCACTCTTTTTATGGCAGCCTTCTGCTTTGGCATGTTACTTAGCCTGATAGATTGTAAGCCTCTTGAGGGAAAGGCGTTTTTGTCTTTATATCCCCAGTGCTTGGTATAATGTCTGGCATATAGTAGGTAATTAAAACAAATATCATTTGATTGATTGTCATCTGATTGATCCCTGCAGTGAGGATTGTTCTTCATTAGGATATATATTACTTAATATGGATTGTATGGGGGGTTCACACCTCTGGTGTGAGGGCTTGCTGAGCCCTTTTCAAAGCTGCTCACCCACCTTTGGTATGCACCTTTCACCCAACTCTCACTTGTGGCTCTAAGAAGCTATAGCATGCACAGTGGCCACACCTGGGTAAACCATCTCAGCAAATGAGCTAAAACAGGTTGAGGGCAACTGACAGGTTCGATGAGTTAGGTGAATGTCTACCCTAGCCATGTGAAAACTTCCCGAGTGGAATGGGCCAGTGAGAACAATTTGTTCTAACAGCCATGTAGACAGCTGAAACAGGTGCTGTGGAGTGCTTAGAGCTTGCTCAGACATAGAGGATGACAAGATTCTTTGCATCCCAGACCATTGCCAGTCCATTGACCTTTTGTCCTGCCACTGGACTTTGATGACTCAGGAGGAGATGATGATGACTTTGTGCAACTCTGCCTCACTTACATCCAGTTCACCCCCATGATGTCATTAGTCCTCTTTGAAAATGAAGGACGGTTACTTAACACGGCATCATTATTAACTTCACTTCTTTGAAGACCTGAGAAACAGTTGTTCACTGCTTAAGGCAGAACAGTTTTAAAGAATTAAAACAAAGTTGTTACCTGCTCGACTTATTGATTTCTTTTTGTAAATCGCACAACTGCTCACTAATTGAACATTAACCTGAGAGCATTTTGCATGTTAAACTTTGTTTTAATCTTTTTTGTGTATATTTAAGTTCTATGCATGTGGCCTTTTCTGCTGGATTCTGTTTTAGATGAAACTGTACTTGAATGTGGATATATCAAGTCCACTTATATTCAGCTAGAGAATTGGAAAATAAAAGCTGGGGTTTTTTTTTTTGCTCTTGTCATGACAAGATATTTAATCTCACTGGCATTATGCTGATTTAGAATATATAAGCAGGAAAACTTAAATGATATATATTTAGATATTCATTTTTCTAATTCTTGCTAGGCCACCATAGCTTTACTAACTTTGGTCCTCGTATGCTCATGGGCTGACTTTTGGAATCCGAGATTAGTTCTCAAAGGTCCCTGGAAATAATCTAAGGAATTAAGGAAATTAGTGTAGAGCTGTGTGGCAGAGAAAGGTTTTTAGAATTTCAGGTGCAAGCATTGGTTCAAAAGTAGAGAAGATAGCTCTACCTTATCTTCCGTTTGTGCTGTGGGTGTTCTCTCACAAATGCAGAGAGACTGGTCCTGTGTTCTGTACAGGGAAAAGTGGGCAAATGTTTATTGTTAACCATAATATTCAGTGATTTCATACTTCTCAGATCCACGGATTCCTTGAACAAAAGTCTGTAAGGAAAAATATACTTAGATTTAAAAATTTTTTTTTTTGGTGAGATGGGGTAGCTAGGTGGCACAGTGGATAGAGCACTGGCCCTGAAGTCAAAAGGACCTGAGTTCAAATCTGGCCTGAGACCAAGCACTTGACACTTACTAGCTGTGTGACCCTGGGCAAGTCACTTAACCCCCATTGCCTAAAAAAAAATTTGATGAGGCAATGGGGGTTAAGTGACTTGCCCAGAGTCACACAGCTAGTGTGTTATGTGTCTGAGGTTAGATTTGACTCAGGTCCTCCTGACTCCAAGGCTGGCGCTCTATCCACTATGCTACCTAGCCACCCCTGATTTTTTTTTTTTAAATACGGGTTTTCTAGTTCTTGGTGACCTTTTTTTAATGGGTTTTTAGAGTTTCCCATCTCCAAGACTCCAGCTTCTTTTTTTAGGTTCAGGTAAGCTGTCAGTAGTGGCTTCATGTTCCAAGTTTGGAAAGGTCTTAAGGCAATTTAGAAGCTAAATGTTAATGTGGAGTAAAATTGAATGAAAGATGCACTAGTGAACATTATTAAAGGTTTGGTCAGGAATGTGGATGGAAATGGGTCTGGAGGCTAACCTTATTTAATGTTTTCCTTTGTTTGAAAAGCTTTTTGTTGTTATTGCTGGGTGGAGCTGGGTCTTGTGGATGCCCCAGTACTGTCACTGTATTTTGCACCCTGAAGCAATCCATTTGCAAATGAATAACAACAGCTCTCTTACATGTGTGCACTGGTGAGACTTGATTCTTGGAAAAATAGACAAAAAAACTAAAAGATGCTCTGGGCCCTTCCACAGACCTTGATGTTCTCAAAGTAATTTACTTTGTCAAGAGACAGAAGGCAGACAATCAGATTGAAAAATGAGAAGTACACTGCTTAGATAATAAAGTTATATTCTTAATTGATGCCCCAAATACAAAAGAAAACTTGTTTTGACTCTTATTTGTATAGAACGTGGAGAGACAGAGAGGGGCAGAGAAGGTTGTCTAAAAAAACCCCAAACAATAAAATAAACTATTATTTTAAGAAAGGGAGTAAGAGGTTATAGTTACATTTGGAAAAGGTTTTCTGCTTAGCTTTTAACTCTAGAAATAATTCTGTTAAAATCACTCATTTGTTTCTTAGACCAATCTTTTTTTTTCTTTTACTGTATTATTCAAGGATATTATTATCTATATTTTAAATATAAAAACTAATCCTTGCTGCTTTTGGAGTTAACTTGTGTAAAGTAAAATATCCCATAAAGTAAATGCTATGATAAATAAATATCTTGATGGCTTTTACCTGTTTTAATTTTTAGAAAATTCACTTTACACCTTTACACTTTTTTTTAGGTCGCTGTGCATTTCAAATCTGGAAGCCTCTGGAGCAAGTAATCACAGAAACTGCAAAGAAGATTCAGCTTCCTGTAAGTGGTCTGGTTAGGGGTCACTTGGATTTGGCCATATTTCCATAATTTGAAATAACTTAAGCAAACCTATTTAATTCTAACTGTCATTAGCAGAAGTTTGCTTATTTCACTGCTTACCTCTCTGACTAACTGTGTTATCTTAGCCAGATTAAATTCCTCATCACTGAATTTAGGAGATTGAATTAGATAAACTCTAACCTTTCTTCCAGCACTAGTGTTCTAGCAAGGGGAAAATCATGCTCTCCTCTCACTGTGGGCTTGGAGAGACCTGTGTTCAAATGTGCCTCTACCACCCAGTGGCTATGTGTCCCCGGGCAAGTTACTTAATCTATTTATGTCTCAGGTGTGTCACATGCAATATTTGTGGTGCTTATCTCACAGGGTGGTTATGAAGAACAAATTAGATAATGGGAATAAAAGGCCATACAAACCTTAAAGCTCTATAAATGCCATCTGTTTTTAGGAGGTTTCTTTGAGAACTCTTCCTACTTCTAATAATCTCAAGGATTATTTTCCAGATCTGTCATTGTCAATCAAGAAGTGTTTATTAAGCACTTACTTTGTACGAGGCACTGTACTAAGTGCTGAGTGTGCAAAGACAGAAGTGATATAGTCCTTGCCCTCAAGAAACTTCTGTTCTACTAAGGGAGAGATCATATACAGATATAATTGTATACTGAATGTAAATAGAATGGATACAAGGTAGTTTGGGTTGGGGATGTACTAGCAGCACAGGGGACCAGGAAAGGCTTCATATAAGAAATATCACTTAAGCTGAGCCTTGCAAGAAACCAGGGATTCTGATGGTCATTGCGGAGGGTAAAGAGCATTTTAGGTATGGAGGACAGTCAGTACAAAGATATGGGAGATGGAGGGTCATTTGTGACCAGAATAGCTGTACTATGGGGAATAAAGTATAAGAACAATGGAAAGGTAAGAAGGGCCCAGTGGTGAAGGGAATTCAGTGTCAAATAAAAGTGTCTATTTGATCCTAGAGGCATTAGGAAGCTGCTGGAGTTTACTGAGTAGGAGATTGACGTGATCAGACTTTGGCTCTCTGAAAATCATTTTGTGTGGAAGATAGCTTGGACTGGGGAGAGACTTGAGGTGGAGAAAAAAATTTGGAGTCTATTTCAGTAGAGTGATGAAGGGATGATGAGGACCTGAACTATGATGGCAGCTCTGTGAGTGTAGAGGAAGGAACATACGTAAGAGTTATTATGGAGATAGAAACGAATTGGATACGTGGGACGAGAGTGAAAACGCTAGGATTATACCAGGTTATGAAACCATCCCCACCCCATTTTAGCCTTGATACCTTAAGCATGTGAAAAAACATCTGTCTTTATCAGTCAATCAGTCCTGGTCCTGTTACCTCTTGAGTGAAGGAAGGGTGATGTATTTATTTTGCTCAGCTCAGAGATCGAGAGTGGTCATGGTAATTACTGAGCGTTGTTCTTTTAGTTTATATTATTGCAGTCATTATGCATATTGCTTTCACGCTCTACTTACTTCATACTACATCAGTTCATTTAAGTTTTCCTGAATTCATTGTATTTGTTCCTTTTTTTTCTTTTTATTTGTGAGGCAATTGGGGCTAAGTGACTTGCCCACAGTCACATAGCTATTAAGTTTTATGTGTCTGAGGCCAGATTTGAACTCAGGTCCTCCTGACTTCAGGGCCGGTGCTCTATCCACTGTGTCACCTGGCTGCCCCTTCATATTTGTTTCTCACAGTGCAGTAATAGTAAAAATTTGTTTAGCCATTTCACAACCTAAAGACCTTTACTTTTTTCCAGTTCTTTACTACTTCAGTTTCTTGTTGAGGTTTTTGGATTGGAGAGATGTGAAGAAAACTCCTACACCATCTCAGTAATCTTGTTATCATCACTTTTATAATGAAAGATATCAGATGCTTAGTCTTTATCATGCTTAAAACTGTTGTTTTCTTCTTTTATATCTCATGGTTATTTACCTAATGTTTAACTTTTTCTGTAGAAGGTGATTCTGTATGAGGAGGGTTTCTGCAGTGCCATGAGCATGCTGCTATCTGCTTAAGTAAAAGTTGTATTGAACTCGGAGTCAGTAGACATGAACTTGAGGTCCGTCTGTGCCGCTTATGAGGTGTGTGTCCTTGGGCTGGGCACTACCTTTTCTGAACCTCAGGCTTCTTATCTACAAAATGAGGATAATAAACTTGTGCTGATTGTTTGCCTTTTACACTCATTTTGAAGATCAAATGATACCATATATGTCAAAGTACTTGCTACCTGAAAAACACTTTCTAGATAAAAAACATAATGTTTTCTCAGTTATACCTTCATAGGATTATAAATACAATTAGAATGGATCCCAGAATTCAACAAGTCCAACTCCCTTATTTTACAGGTAATGAAAACTGAGGCATAGATAGGTTAAGTGACTTATCCAGAGTCACACAGCTACTATGGGATTTGAACCCATTTCTTTCTGATTCCAGTTCTAACCTGCCTACTACACAATAACTTAATCCCATTTTTCTTCTTGTTCTTCCTTTTGTGGAAACAATAGAAGTACCACTTATATAACATATTTCTTCATATGCACAATTAAAATTATAATTAAGTCCCCTTTTAGCTTTCTTGGTCTCATTATAAAGAATTTCCTTAGAACTTGTTAATAGAATACCACAGTCATAATTATTTTGTTTCCCGTTTCTAAAGTTTCTTTGATGTTGCTATGGTAACCCCATTTAGACACACAATTTGGTGTCATAGGATCATAGATTCAGTCTTGGAAGAGGCATTGGCAAGATTTGAACTCTACAATTTAAGACCTTATCTTTAAGAATTACTTACTATTCTGAAAAATTTTTATTTTGTGGCCAAACTTATGATGAGCCTCTCAGAATTTACCTTGGCCTGTCGTTATTGAAGTATGATAGGCTCATACTCACCTTTCCAGCTTGGTGTAGGACCTCATCAGGATTTTGGTCCATTGGTTTGGTTTCAGAGGACCCATAGACACCTCCAAACCTTAGGTTTATCCAATTAAGATTTTAATGGAAGTGAGTAAAAATTAGTTTGCTGTGTTAGGACTCTGAAATCTTATTCTGTTGTGCTATAAAAGCCTAGTCCTTTGCCTTATAATTGAGAAAATTGTTTTTCTAATTTTATATTTGTTTTCATTTACATTTAGAACAGTAACTACAAAACAGTATTTTGGACTTTTTTTTTTTAATCAGTATACATGTGGCAGAAAGGCTAGTTACAAGAACTACATAGGTTCTTTTATATAGCAAAAATGAGGAGGGGGAAAAGGGAAGGGAACATACTTTATTAGATGCCTCCTACGTGCCAGGCACTGTGCTAAGTTCTGCTATTATTATCCCCATTTTATAGTTGAGGAAACTGTGATGCAGATTGGTTAAATGACTTACCCAGAGTGATCTGATGATTAAGGCCTGACGCTTCTTTCAAGGCCTTGCTGACTCCAGGCCCAGCATTCCATCTACTGTGGCACCTCTTATCTAAAAAACTTGTTCTTTTTGTGACTGTCATCCTGTGGTCATTCATCTAGGGACCTTGTGCTTCAGGATGGTGACTGAATGGATTAACTACTTAAGAATTTTGTTTCATTTGGTTTCTTTTAAATCTTCCTTTAACAAATTTGATGATGGTTATCATCTAATAATAATTTTAGGTGTAAAAATAATCCCAGCTCTTCATATATCTTTGTGTAACTTGGGTGGGGTTACATATATAGCCTCTAGGACAGTGGTGTCAAATTCCAGTGGAAAGAAGGGCACCCTAAACCTTACATAAGGATTTCTGAGCTTTGTATAGCTTCAGACAACCACACCTTAACATTATCTGTGTCCTATTGTATTTTTATTTATTTTATTAAATGTCTCCCAGTTATTTTTTAATCTGGTTTGGGCAATACTGGAGAGTATTATAGGAGCTTGATACCTCTGCTTTAGATTACTTCCATTTTTTTTCATCCTTCTGCTCATGTGTGGAATTTGGAAGCATTAGTTAGAACTTGTTGGAGACAAGGTTAACAGATGTTCAGTACTTGATAATGAGTAATGGCCTTTTAATAATCCAAAAGTTTTAAAGAGGGCCCAAAGAGTTCCAACAGCAGCAAAGAGCTGTTGGCCCCTCAGTGGTGTACTGTTCTGTCCTTGAGAACCCAATATGGAGTCATAGAAAGATCCTGTTAGCTGATTAGTCTTCTTGCTGTTAATGAGTGTTTCTCATGGTCTCATTGTATCTATCTTCACATTTCCCTTGAAAAACTTCAGTGCTGTCAGGAAACATAGTCCTAAATTACCTCCCAGTTTTCCTAAGTATGTTCAATTATCCGATACTGTATATGTCATAGGTCCAATATGAATTAAAGGTTAAAAGTGTGTCTCATAATATACTTTTTTTTAAAATATAAATTTGTTATCTTGTATTCTTTTGGGCTCCAGTCACTGTTTAAGCAGTGTGACATTAAAATACTGTTCAATGGTACACATAAATTTTCACACTATTTAAAGTTATGTGTTCTGCGGTGTAAATGTGTTTTCAAACCATATTAGTGATTACCCACCTATCTTTATAATGGCTTCTTTTTTCTCTGAGAAACTGCTTGCAAAAGTATACTAACTGAGGAATGTAAGTAGACCCCTCATTCATCTCTTCTCTCTTGTTGGCGTCTCTAAAATATATGTTTTATACCCTCAAAGTGATTTTTTTAGAGCAAGTTGCATTAATTATGTTATAGCAAACTAGTGTTTTCTATAAACAGACAAATGTTGTACAGTTTGGAGCCACTTCTGGTCCTGTTTCTTTGAGGGGCCATTCCTGGGTAAGCAGTCTCCTCTTGGTAAAAATAATGACAACAACAACAAGAAGAAGCTTCCATTATTCTTAGGGTTTGTGGCTATAGTACAGATAATGACAAGTCGTACATATGACAAAACACTGAGATTCTTTGAAAATGAAACGTTTCACAGCTTCCTGAGATAA